CCCCCAACAACACAACCCTTCCCTTCACATCTGCATCCACCACAGATCCAAAACCTCTACCAGATTAGCAGCAATTTTTGGGGAATACTTTTCTCACATTCCTATTCCCTTACTTTGAAAGATAGCCTTTGCAAAGAAAAGAAATAGAAATAGTGGAAGAAGATTGACGGTCAAACCTATTTTCGGTTCGTTTTCCTGTAGCAAAATTTCAGATTGTTTTGTGTGATGTTGGTCTTTTGGGTAGTCATTTTTTATGGTCGGCTCTTTTTCTGATGGTTGATTGGTGGTACAATGGTGGAGTGTTGGCTGTGAAGAAGCTTTGTAGGTGAATGGTGGTTTGTTTCCGACTACTCTTTAGGTTAACGAATTGTTCTGCTTCTTCAAGTTTTTTGCTGTGTTGATTTGGCTATTTGGCTTTAATAGGTTTCAACAGAGTTCGGTCCGTATCATATCGATTTTAATAATGACATGTCCCTAGATGTTGGATTGGGTAACCTTCTCTTTGAATTCTAATTTAGCATTTGCAAATTAGCAGAACTTTAGAGTATATTTTTATGGTAACCAAACAAACAACAAAGTATTGAAAACAAGAAAGTGCTAGATTCTGCATTGAATTTCAATTGGCTACGTTTTCTGAATCATCAACGCAACTATTTGAAAAGCTAAGCTTATGACATCTAGATGCAGGTAGAGAGCATGAAGTGCTGCTGAAATTTTGCATTCTATTTATACCTTTCAACTCTTTTGGACTTGATTTATACAATTAGCATGAAAAAATGGAAAAGGATGCTACTTGAGAGTTGGTATTGAATAATTATTTTCTGTTGAATCCTTCTCCGGACCCCGTGCATAGTGGGAGCATAATGCACCGGGATGCCTTTTTTTTTTCCAGATGAAATACATAACTTAGCTACACTGCTTCTTGATACTTCTCATCACATGACATTTCTTTATTTTTTTTGCTTCATACATTCTTATGGACAATAAGTTCCTACCCTGAATATGTCATGTAACAGGTCTCATTATGTTTGCCGAAGACCACAACAAATGAAGCTGACAACTACATACTTTGGTTGACCTTCAAATCGGTGCATCGCATTTTGCTAATATGTAAGTTCTCTGTACATAGTAATCTTTAACTTGCTATATATGCATTTTTGTTGGTGATCTGTTGCTGTATGATTCTAAGGATATCTTATTAATTCAATATAAGCAATTCAATTATGCCACAAGGACATGCTCATTTTTTTGACCGAGCTAGACAAGTAAACAGAAGCACGAGTGAATAGGAAATGAAAAGGAGTTAACACGTCTTTAGGTTTTGAGTGATAGGTAGCTTCAGATTTCAATGTCACACTTCACAGACATGTAGTGCAGAAATCAACTCTTCTTTAAATCACCCATCTCCATCTCAAGCTCAATCTTAATCTATCTAGGTGTGTGCGTGTGTGATTACATGTGTTTCAAAGATAGCCACCTTTACCCATTTTATAAATCACGCCAACCAATGATAAGCAACTTGCCTGTTACATCACCCTACAATCTCTATCAGAAGCTGCTAAGATGCTTCATTTTCCTTTCATTAGTCTCAATGTACTAAACATAAAAAAAAAGACTTCAACTGAGTTAACTAAAATATTAAACTAATAAGAAAATACCTACCTAATAGGCATGCACCACGCAGAATATATTCGATGTGCTTTGTATATTATGTTACATTAGTAATTAAAATAACTTCTCATTCATCACAAATAATATATATACATGTACCCAATCAAACAGTACCAAGGGAGTAGCTTATCAACTATTCTCCTAAGTAAGAAGAGACATCCTTTTTAGGATTCTATAACTGTAAAATTCTTTGGCTACAGATTGTTGCATCTGCCACTCCGTCAAAGGCGAAAATGTATGCATCTTTATTTCTTCCGATAAGTGTAGAAGTTTAGTACTTAATAGATATTGTAAAATCGTCCTCCTAGTTTTTGAAATTTCTGTGTGAAAATCAGACCTGAAGGATTTATTTGGTGATGGCAAGTGGGTTATTTCGAGTTTGCGACAGAAAATGACTGTAAGTTTCTTCTTGGTGCATAATTTTGTTTTGTTGGTTAGTACGTAACATGAGCATTCTGTTGCCAGCTATTTAGTAATTTACCTAACCTATCTTTCTTCAGGTAGAGTCTGATGATTCTTGTGCAGATAACGAAGCCACATTGGCTAGGATGAACACCTTTCTTGATGATGCGCTACATTCTTATTGTGAAGGAATCATGGTGAAATCCCTTGATATACACACCATCAAAGCGCACTAATGCATGGTTAAAGGTGTCGCCTCGAAGAATGATATATTGCACTAGCAAGATTAGAGCTCTAATCCTAATTCTAATCCTAATCCTGGGACTTGTCTGCAGGTCAAGAGGGACTACGTGGAAGGGCAAAGTGATTCCTTGGACTTGGTTCCGCTTGGTGCTTGGTATGGGAACGGATGTTTGAAGATGGAAAGGTAATAATCATCGACAGATCGATTGCTGCTTTTGTCTAATATTTTTAATTGATAAGAAGTAATACATCGAAGCAAGTCAAAATGAATTAGTACTCAATGAAGGTCTACTTAGATAACAAGAGTCATAAGGGAAAGTAACTTCACATGATGGATACATTATCAAAAGTTGTATGATTGACTATGCGCTTAATGAAAATTTTTCTTCTCATATTGCCTTTATTAGTTCTATTTTCAATTGCCCAACTTTACATGTTTCTATGTAAAATATGTATACACGTTTTAGAATGCGTGCGAAGAAAAATTCTTCCTTTTCTTCTCTTTTTCTTTTTGTTACATCGCAGGGGTGCGAAAAGGAAAGGAGGAGGAAATTTGTTTGTATAGCAAAAGGGTGGAGTTCTAAAATATTGTTTCGGCTCTATTTAATATAGCTCTACTAGTGGATGACTTTGTTAACGGTTCTGTTTATGGTGCAGTTGTGCTCACTAAGTCTGAAAAATTGGTAATACCATTTCATGATTGTTTTATGTCTTGGTCTGTTATTTTTCAGTTGCAGTTGGTCATACAAAATGTATAAAAGCTTTATTCCTGTTATTTACCATTCTGGCTATGGTGCTGGCAAGTTATAATATGATCGTCAACAGATCTATCTGTCTATATGAACATTGCCCTTGAGCTTTGGTGGGGAAATCACTGTTGTTGAACATTGTTGATGTTTTAGATGATTTCTTTTGCAGATTACGACTCCCAAGGAGGCTGAGAGATTCCATCATTTGTTTGGATTTGGTGCAAGTGTTGCTCATATTTTCTCTTGCACGGTGAAGTAGTTTGAAGCTTCTTTGTCTCCTTTGAAGTCATCGTGGTTCTTTATCAATATTTCTTTGATAAGATGAAATGGATTTGTTGTGAAGTTAATCTACAATGGATTGTCACCTATTTAACTCAACTTTTAAATTGCCTCTACTTGCCTCTTTTCTTATATATGCTGTTATACACACTTCTTATCTCCTAGCTTTCCACATAACTTATATTAACAGGGTCTATTTTGAGAGAATATTGAAGAAGACTTTGAAATTCCCCTTAAGATATTCCACTTAAATTAGTATCATTAATTATGTTGACATGTAAAGTTCACACCACTTTGCTGTGATCTAGGTCGAAATAATGTTAAAATACTGTCCAAGGTCATTTTCTTGTGCCTTTCTTTCACAAGATACAATCTGAACCATGTAAATAGTATTGATTTCATTTCCATTTTTGGGTTGACGCCTGTGCATATATCTGGCATTTTCAACCCATATTTATTGTTTTCTTTCTTTCTGAATGACATGTCCTCCTAGACGCTGCTTGTGGGATTACACTAGTTTTTATTGTTGTTGAATGACATGTCCCTAGCTGTTGGATTGGGTAACCTTTTCTTTGAATTCTAATTTAGCGTTTGCAAATTAACAGAACTTTAGAGTATATTTTTATGGTAACCAAACGAACAACAAAGTATTAACACTTGCTATATTAACTTTTTATCCAACTGTACATACACCAAAATACAAAGGTAAAATATGGGAAAGATTCTGCGAATTACTTATTTATGAGACAAAATTAACAATTTAAGTCATCTGATAAAAAATCAAAGGCAAAAAAATATACTTTGCAACAAAGTGTGCCTCTCGAGGATTTGCATCAATTAAACGACAAAGAGAACAAGCTGAAGAAGATTCATAATATGCACAATATTACCAATATCAGATAAGCTCCGCCGTCTGTCAATTCCCAGCTTCCACCTTTTGGCTCCTTGCGCTTATTGATCTCATCTTTGCAGTTTTGTGAATTTACCGTTTGGATCGTTGTTTCTTGTGAGTTTTCTTCTCCTTCTTCGCATACCGTGTTTCTCTATTTAATTTTTCATGGCATGTTACGGCTTTATTGCACAGAGAGTTCAATTTTTCCAACGGCTTTGTCTTTACACTACAAAAAATCAAAATTATTGTGGCGGTTATATTACGGCGATTCCGAATAACCGCCACAAAATATAATTAAAAATGACGTTTTTTCAGCCGCCAAATTAAATTTTTTTTATAGCGGCGATTATTTCCTATTGTGGCGGTTAAAAACGCCGTAATACTTTACCCAAAATATTTTAACTATTCCATCGATAAGTTTTAGTGTTTCCGCCACTATTTTGAGACTCCCTCCAGAATTTCCCCTTTCCCTCCATAGGTTTGGTTTACCTTTCTCCCAATTTCTATTTCCCACAATTTTCCCACAATTCAATCTTATTGAAGGCTGTTGGAATGTACAACTCACAATCTCCAAACAATTGCAGCTGAGGTAATCCGTTCCCCTCTGATAACGTCAACATTGCTAACACCAAGAAATTGAGGCATCTCGTTTTTTAGATTAATCCGGCGGCTGTCATGCTCAATACGGCGTGGAAACTTAGATTAATCTCTTTTTTTAGTTACCTCCTTTAGAAGAATTCGACCAGCATCCTTTAGAATCAATCTTCTCTTCGGGATTGCATTTGGCCATGTTTTTGTGAAACTTGAAAGATATTCCTGAAACTTCATATTCTTCTATTTCTCCCAATCTGTTTCTCCGGCTAGAAGAATCCATGAAATTCATTTAGCAGCTTCAATAATCTCAGTTAATGTAGCGATTAGGGTTCATGTTTAGTACCAAAACTTCTTTTTCTCTTTTGTTAGGGTTGATGCATGTAGCGATTCCCCCAGTTTTGTGCTAATTTTTTTTCCTCAGTCTGATAATCTATGATTCATTCAGTCAATCAAATATATAACATCCAAAATAGTAATCTTTTACTAGAAAGACATTAATGTTCTAATGGTTTCAGTTTTTTTTAAGTCCATTTTTTGTTATTTTTCTGTTCAATTAGTTTAGTACTTCTTTAAACGTTTGCTGCTTTGTTTGGTATCTTGATATGTAGCCGAGAGATCAAAATCTATTGGTGTAGCTATTGGGATCGACGTCGGCAATAGAACATTTGAGAGGTATCAGTTTAATTTTGTCCTTTCTTTTGAGCAGATTTCTTTTTATTAAAAGGTAGATTGATTATTTCTTTTGTCACTTGCAATTTAATACTTGAGATCTATCCCCTGATAGGAGAAAGCTTCCGAACAATATTATGGTGAAGATTTATGAACCCAATAAGCTATTATTTTATTTTAGATGTTACAGATAGGTTGCTTATTTTGCGTGGTACCAGTAGAATCAGTGACATCTAATATAGTCTCACTGATATTATTGAGGCCAGCTCTTTTTGGACTCACTAATTGAGGTTTTACAGGACTAATGGTAATGGAATGCATTATGTTGCTCTGTTGTTCAGCAAAAGCTTTAGTTTCCTGGGAGGATAAGTTAGAATATGTTACAGAGAAACATTAAAGAGTGAAATTTAAAAATCTAACCCAAATTTAAATTCAGAAATCTAACCGAAATTTAAATTCAAAAAAATAGATATATCATAAACCTAACTTATTATGCTAAAAAAGTTACTGCAGTAACTGAAAGCAACAAAATTTCAACAACTTACCATGGCTAGTGAGTTTAAAGAGTGAGAGCGGGTTGAATCAAGCTGACTACCAACATGATCAAAGACCTTCATTTCAAGACAACTTATAGTTTTGGATAGTGATGGAATCACTTTTGGAAAACCTTCTGTTCTCATGGCTAACTACAAGATCTGTAATTTGAAACTGATGTAAGTGCATCTATTTTATAAAAGCTGGTGTTATGGAATAAGTGAGGGGGAGAGAACATTCAAGTCTGGAAGTGGAAGGTACCAGTATAAATAAGATTATTCCAAGCAAAGTTCTTGGAAGCACACATCAGTCACAATTACACGTATATAATACAGCTTAAGGTACCAGTCGCAAAATAAGCAACCTACATTACTTCCTAATTCTAAAACTGAAGTTAAAAAGGCGAAGTTGCTAAGCTTAGAACTTATATTGACCTATTAAGATATATTTTCTCACCTTCTGTAGCTTGCTGAAGAATGGCTTAGCTTGTCCACCTTTGTAGATAATGAACTTATCGCTGCACACTCTGTTATAGGTAGATAAAAGTAACAAGATTTTGTATATACACAATAAACCACATGTAATGTGACTTTGAAGTCTATGATTTGAGATATATACACTTATGTTATTATGTCTCTGTTAGCTTTTGAGTTATCCAGCTAAACTCAAAAGTTATTATTGTGACTTTGAAGTCTATGACTTTGAACATTTGATTAATATTTCTTTTTATCAAAAGGTATATTCAGAGGTTATGTTTGTCACATAGAAGCTTTTGAACTATTTAGTTTTAATATTGTGATGTTATCTTATGTCTTCCTTTCTAGCCATGCCAATTGATAAATCTTGGATTAGCAAACCACGAAACACACCGGAATATGCAGATGGTCTAAGACAATTTTTGGATTTTGCTTTTGAGCACGGGTCAGTTGATGGGCGCGTAATTAAGTGTCCGTGTCCAAAATGTGGTTTTAATAAATGGCAAAGAAGAGATGTAGTTGAAGAGCACCTGATTCTTAAACCTTTCCCAAAAAACTACAAATTTTGGTATTGGCATGGTGAAGAATCAAATGCAACCGTGCAACAGACTTCTCAGAGCACCCATATCATAGAAGATAATTTACAACCCAAGATCCAATGGAAATTATGATTAATGATGCATTTGGGTTCACCCGGAATAATGTCAACGAGCCTGGTGCATCTTCTAATCATATAAATATAGAAGAAATATTTGATGAAGGGCGCGTTGAGGGGCATAATGAAGATTATACAAAGTTTTATGAATTGGTCGAAGATGGAAATCAACCATTATACGAAGGGTGTACGAAGTATTCCAAATTGTCATTTCTAATCAAAATATATCATATAAAGTGTCTTTGTCGAATGACTGACAAGGCGATGAGTATGATATTAGAATTGTTAAAAGATGCCTTTGATGCCAAGATTCCTGGTTCTTTTTATGAGGCCAAGAAAACCATCAATAAATTTGGTCTTAATTATACCAAGATACATGCCTGTCCAAATGATTGTATGTTATATTTTGGTGAAGATGAAGGCTTGCAAGAATTCAAAAGATGCAAGTCATCGAGGTGGAAGGATAATAAGAAGAAGCAGCCTGCAAAGATTGTTCATGTGCTCTAAAACTGCCAGAGTCTATGAGATGGCATTCTTTAGAGGGTAGCCAAGATGGATTGATGAGGCATCCTAGGGATTCTCAGGCTTGGAAAACTTTTGACTTACTTCATCCTGAATTTGCTGCAGATCCTCGAAATGTACGGCTAGGCCTAGCCAGTGACGGTTTCAATCCTTTTGGAGCAATGGCAACTAACTATAGTATCTGGCCAGTGGTACTTATTCCATACAACCGTCCTCCTTGGGAGTGCATGAAACAAACTTCATTCGTCCTCTCAATGATCATTCCAGGGAAACAATTGCCGGGTAATGACATAGATGTGTATGTACAACCTCTCATCCAAGAGTTGAGGGAATTGTGGTACGATGGAGTGCAGACATTAGATTCTTCAAAGAATGAAATATTTAAAATGCGAGGAGCATTGATGTGGACAATTAGTGATTTTCCTGGGCTTGGTACATTATCTGGATGGAATACATACACTCACTTTGCTTGCCCCACGTGTAACTTTGATACAGACTCTTGCAGATTGAAGCATAGTAGAAAATGGTGTTTTATGGGTCATCGTCGCTTTCTTGAAAGAGGTCATCGGTTTAGATTGCAACGTGTTCGTTTTAACGGAAAAATCGAGCAACGGGAGCCACCAATTGCATTATCAGGGTCAGACATCTTGAAGCAAGTGGAGGGCATTAATGTCAATTTTGGGAAAGCACCTGTTTTGAATGATAAAGGTAAAAGAGCTCGAAGACAAACCGTTAATGAAGATAGATCAAGACAGTGGAGAAAGAGAAGCATATTTTTTGATCTTCCTTACTGGGAAACGAACTTGTTACGTCATAATCTAGACCTTATGCACATTGAAAAGAATGTGTGTGAGAATGTGATATACACTTTACTCAATGATTCTGAAAAATCAAAAGACAATATTAAAGCTAGGAAGGATCTTAGAGAAATGGGTATAAGGAAGGAACTTTGGGCAGATGAGAACGGAAGCTATCGTCCATCTTTGTTTACTATTTTAAATACAAAGAAAGGTGGATTCAAGAAAGATATATTTTTGCGGACCTTAAAGAATGTCAAAATGCCTGATGGATATGCGAGCAACATTTCGAGATGTATCGACTTGAAACAACGGAAGCTCTTTAATATGAAGAGTCATGATTTTCACATTCTCATGCTGCACTTATTACCAATTGCCATACGGAATATTTTACCCGACAAAGTGACTGCAGTGCTAATAGAGTTGAGTTCGTTCTTCCGACAACTCTGTGCCAAAAGCTTAAGTCCAATAGACCTTGATAGGCTTCAATCTCGACATTTTCTCACTATGAATCACTTGGAAATGCTATTCCCTCCAACATTCTTTACCATCATGGTTCATTTAACTTGTCATCTAGCTAGTGAAATAAAACTTGGGGGACCGAAACAGTGTCGATGGATGTATCCTGTGGAGAGGTAAGAGATTTCTCATTGCTTTATTGTAGTTTATTCTTTAAGACAAAGATGTTAAATTGTAACCATTAACTAACCATTGATCTTTTGTGTAGGTATTTGGGACATTTTAAGTCCTATGTGAGGAACATGTCACAACCAGAAGGTTCTATAGCCGAAGGATACCTGGCTGAAGAGGCTCTCACTTTCTGTTCTCAGTATTTTGAAGGGATTGAGACAAGAATTAATAGGCCTCATCGTTGATGATTATCCGGAGGATAGAGGCTCGACAAATTCATCTAGCATTTTTCCACCGGTTGGTAAAGGAATAGCAACAGAAACATATGAGTTGTCACTTATAGTGAAACGTCAAGCACATCGATATATGTGGTACTAAATTGTCCACAAGTCATGCCGTTCATTGAGTGAGTATTTAATGCAAATCTAAATAAAACTTACATTAAATATGTATAATGATTAACATTTGTATCATCATTTCATGTAGTGAATTTAAAGATCATGTACGAAGGCGCTGGAAGGGTTGAAATCCTAGTAGTACGGAGATTGAGAAGATAGTTAATAAAGACTTCATTGATTGGTTTCCCGGAAAGGTTTGTTACAATGTATTAGAATTTTACAAATTTAAAACTATGCCTAACATATTTTTTTAATTCTTATTTCAGATTGTGAACCCAGACATTTCGAATACTGTATCAGATGACCTAAAGTTTTTAGCAAATGGTCCAGCACAACATGCTAGAAGGTTTACATCATTTAATATCAACGGGTTCAAATTTCGAACTTTAGAGCAAGAGAATGGATTGACAACTCAAAACAATGGTGTATTTTTGACTTCGTCCACATCTTGTCTTGCTAGTGGTGCTGATAGAAACCTGAGGCAAGCAGATTTGCCATATTATGGAAAATTAGAAGACATCATTGAACTTAACTACTATGGTCGATTTCGGGTTACACTATTCAAGTGTAAATGGGCTGACACAACTAAGGATAGGGGGTTTAGAACAGATGCATGGGGATTTTCTTCTGTTAATTTTTCACGATTGATTCATACTGGCGATCGTGAAGAGCATGATCCATACATTGAAGCTTCACAAGCTCAAATGGTATATTATGTGGATGATGAGGTGAATAAAGGTTGGAGTACTGTTGTTCACTTGAAACCAAGAGACTTATATGATATGGGAGGAGAAGGAGATAATGAATTTCCTGAGAATGAGCCATTCCCGGTGCAAGACTTAGATCAACACTTTGGGGATGTTAATGATCTGCTTTTGTGTAGGGAGGATGAAACTGATGAAATATTAAGTGATCACGATATTAAAAATGAGATTGGAGAAGATGAATAGTACTGAAGAGTCGTTGCTAGCCCTTTTCACATTTTAGAACGAAGCATCTTAATTTATTTTCGTTTCAAATTAGTTCAGATTATAGCTATGTCCTTTTTTGTTCTTGACTTGCTTTATGTTGTTGCATCTAGTTACTTTCTTTCATTAATTAAGCTTAAGTTATTTATTTTTGTCTTGAATTTTAAACTATTTTTGTATCAAGGTTTTCTTGTTTTGCTTTATATACCTTTATGTATGTAGAGATGCCGAAGCAAAATAGGGTTAAAAATCAATTCAAATCAGTCAAAGAGAGATCTTCACTTGTTCCGAGGCAGCCATCACAGGCTCAAGCTTCATCTTCAACATCTTATCGAGTCTCTTTACATTCTACACTGCCTACACAACCTACACAGCATGTTATTTCAGTTGATGGAGTCTCTTCGCAACACGGTGTTCCATCATCATCTGATGGAGTCTCTTCGCAGCATGTTGTATCATCTTCATCATCTGATGGAGTATCTTCTCAGCCCGTCATTCCATCTTCATCATCTGGTGCAGTCTCTTCACGACAAACTGGACGTAGTACTAGCAATGAAGAGCCTCATTGGTTTGTCGATGTTATAGGTACATATAAATTTCAAGTGATTTAGTATTCTTTTTGTTTTCCTCGTTTGATGTTTTAACTTGACTTTATTTTGTTGTAGATGAACGTCAAGTAATAAAAACAATTAGATTGAAGGTTAAGGATGTCCATAACTTGGATAAAGGATTGCGTATAATTGTAGAATTTGATGAATATCATGCAGCAATTGGGAAATCAGCTGGCCTAATTGCTGGAGTTTTAGGGCAGCTAGCAACAAATCCTATGTACTTTCCTATTGGCTTTGAGAAATGGCAATCCATGCCCAAATCTTATCTGGACCGTGTTTTTAATGATATAATAGTGGTAATTCCATCTAAATTCTTTTGTTTAGTTTGTATCTTTTAGTTGTATATGTAAAACTGCAGTAAATTAACTTACTTAATATTTGTGAAGCCTCGATCTTTTTTTTACGATTGATCAACAAAAGGCAAAGGCATGGCTTAACAGTTCCATTAACAAAAAGTGGAGGGAGTACAGGCTAAAACTATGGAAGGAGGCTGACGATCCATTATTAAGTACAGAAGATATCATCAAGAACGTTCCGGATGGCATACCGATGGACCAATGGGCACTATATGTTACTTATCGCATGAAAGAGGAAACAAAGGTACTTTCTTCTGCTATTGCTACTTCTGCTTCTTCTTCTGTTTCTGTTGCTTTTTTTGCTACTGCTTCTCTGCTTCATCTGCTATTGTTGCTTTTTCTTCTTCTGCTACTACTTCTGCTTCTTATTTTGTTTCCGCTGCTTCTTCTGCTATTATTGCTTCTGCTACTGCTAATTCTGCTTCTTCTTTTGCTTCTGTTGCTTCTTCTTTTACTTCTGCTTCTTCTGCTATTGTTGCTACTGCTATCTGCTTCTTTAGGCTATCTGCTTCTTTAGGTTATCTGCTTCTTTGGACTCTCAAGTCGAAATGCAACTATTAACATTGAGGTGCAGTATTTGGTGAGTTTGGGGATGTTTGAATTACTGCAAAGTCTAACTAGTTTAGGAATGAGGTGCACTGACTAGTGAATTTGTATGATGTGTAGAGGCGAATTATGTTTCAGGCCTTGTACAAAGCATATTGATGAAATCGTGCAACAAGCTCTGTTGGTTAGGGAATAATAACTCTGTGGAGATTAAGTATATTGGGCTTAACTTTGTTTGCAACACATTACATTTTTAAAGAGAAGTATGCTATCTGTTGAACTACAGCTGCTTAACATTTTCTTTGCACGTTGAGTTGGGTTTATCACTCCTAAACTCAAACAGAGATTTTCACTTTAGGGATTTTCTGGGAGTGATGGTCGTTGCCAATTGTCCAGTTGAGCTGTATTTATGCAGTTATGAAGTTGGTTTGTGTGAATGAACAGGCTAGGTTGTTGCTCCTTTGATGGGGAGAAGTGAGAACATGAATGTTATGGTGCGGAAGAATCTGAATTTCATAAAAGATGCATGACATAAAACAAATTGTTGCTGATCACAAGCATTGAATTAGACTAGTGATAAAGTCACATACATTGAACTGCAAGACTGGGATACTACTTTTTTTGATAGGTTACTATTTTTTCAAAAACAAATATACAATGCCTAATAAAACCTGCTATTTATCCCTTGGAGGCAAACTAGGTACTAATCTTTGTCTCGAATAGTAGTGACTACGATACAAGTACTATAAACAAGTGTTGACTGAGTAGGGTATAGAGCCTCATGTTGTATGTTTCTTCATGATATTTGATTGGAGTAACTTTAGAAAATCAAGAAGTTACTGTTTACTCTAGTACTCTTGCTGTATTGTCCCTCCACCAAGCGCAACAACTCCAAAGCCTTCTGTCTGTTCTCTGTTGTAGTCACTTGAAAGACCCAAAAAACAGCTCAAATTCACAATGACCTCTTAACTTCAGTGATTTTATAGTAATTTTGTGGAGCAGAACAAATTTTATGGAGTGTAACAGAAATTAGTCACAAACTCATAGCTTTAAGCAAACAAGTATTCACATGTTCATCGTCAAGCAACGCATATGTTCTTTATAGAGTATATTGACCAATTGAGCCTAATTTACTAGACATTCTAACTATTCAATTTCTGTAGAACTAGGCTACTTTATTGTAATTACCTTGCTCATTTCTGAACAGATTCATTTAAAGGTCTGCAAGAACTGAAAGCTATGCAATTTTAAGAACTGCTCTGTAACGACCCGACCGGTCGTTTTGAGTCCTAGCGCTCCGTTCAGCAGTCGGAGGCCATGAACAGCTTCATTTCAGGTATTATGACTTGTACGCGTGATCAGAATTAAGTTCTGGGAAGTTCAGAGTCGATTTGGAAAGAGAATTCTCATTTCAGAAGCTATGCAATTTTAAGAGCTCTGTAACGACCCGACCGGTCGTTTTGAGTCCTAGCGCTCCGTTCAGCAGTCGGAGGCCATGAACAACTTCATTTCAGGTATTATGACTTGTACGCGTGGTCGGAATTAAGTTCTGGGAAGTTCAGAGTCGATTTGGAAAGAGAATTCTCATTTCGGAAGCTTAAAGTTGAAAGAATGAACTAGGATTTGGATTTTTGAGTAAACGACCTCGGAATCAGGATCTGAAGGTTCCAGCAGGTTCGTATGATGATTTCGGACTTGGGCGTATGCCCGGTTCGGGTTTTGGATAACCCGGGAGTGTTTTGGCGCCTATTGTGGAAGTTAGCATTTAGAAGAAATTTTCATAAGTTTAGCTTGAAGTGCATTTCAGTGTTATCGATGCCCGTCTGGGATTCCGAGACTGTGAATAGCTCCGTATGGTGATTCTGGAGTTGGGGGCGCGATGGGAAGTGAATTCGGAGGTCCGTAGGTCATTTTGGAGCCATTTGGCTAAAGATAGAAATTTGAAGGTTTTTGAGAAGTTTGACCGGGAGTGGACTTTTTGATATCGGGGTCGCAATCCGATTGCAGTAGGTCCGTAATGCCAAATATGACTTGTGTGCAAAATTTGAGGTCAATCGGACGTGATTTGATAGGTTTAAGCATCGAAAGTAAAAGTTGGAAGTTCTAAAGTTCATAAAGCTTGGATTGGGGGTTGATTCTTGATTTTAGCGTTGTTTGATTTGATTCGAGGCGTCGAGCAAGTCCGTAACGTGTTTTGGGATTGGTTGGTAGGTTTGTTTGAGGTCCCGGGGGCCTCGGGTGAATTCCGGGTGGTTAACGGATCAAAAATGGTATTTTGGGAAGGCTGAGGTCTGCTGGTTGCTGGTATTTCCGCTTCTGCGGAAATGGGACCGCAGAAGCGGCCCCGTAAAAATGAGGGATGGACCGCAGAAGCGGCTGGAGACGATGGGAGCTGGGACCGCAGATGCGGTCATTTTGCCGCAGATGCGGGACCGCACCTGCGGGGGATGGAGCGCAGAAGCGGAAAGGGGGAGGCCTGGTGAGGACCACAGATGCGGTATTGGGGCCGCATCTGCGGGACCGTAGAAGCGGTTGGGAGCCGCAGATGCGGAAAGAGCTGGGGCAGAATGTTGTTTTAAAATCCGATTTTGGCCATTTCTCATCATATTTTTCTTGGCTTGGGGCGATTCTTGGAGGATTTTTAGAGAGGATTTCCATCACCAATGGCAAGGTAAGTTACCCCCACCTATTTTGAGTTAAATACATCAATTATGTATGGATTTGAGCATGAAATTGTAGAAAAACTTGGGGTTTGAGGGAAGACCTAGAAAATTAGTGTTCTTGAATTATGATCAAGAATTTGAGCATGGAATTTGGAGTAAATTATATATTTGAGCTAGTGAAGCCATGGGTAATCTTTATCTTCGAAAATTTTTGGATTCCGGGCACGTGGGCCCGAGGGCGTTTGGTCACTTTCGATCGGAGTTAGGAATTGCTATGAATATAGTTTGTAATGAATGTTGGAGCATATATTAATGGATTTGCTTAACCGTTGGCTAGTTTTGGAGCATGGCGCATCAAATTAGAAGTCCCCGAAGGGTGTGGGTTTGCCGGTCATAGGATCTTCGGAGCGAGGTGAGTCCTCCTTTCTACCTTGTGAGGGGGAAAATGTCCCATAGGTGAATATAATGGTTTATGTGCTCCTAATTGTGGGGGCCTACGTACGCACGAGGTGACGAGAGTCCGTGCGTAGCTACTATTATGCTAATTGTCCGGTAGTTAAGGACCCAAAATATGTTATACTTGAATTATTTGTGAATCCATCGATAGCTTGAATTGCTTAAATCACATTAAATTAAGTAAATGAATGTCAAAAAAGAATTAAACCTCATTTCTTAAAAATGTTAAAGGAGAATTGGTTTTATTTGGATAATTATTCCCCGATAAAATTCTAATGGCTTACCTGAGCATTATATTATAGTGTACCTGCGTCGCATGGATGATTCGCGATCAAGGGTGATTGTTTAATTTTATGTTGACCGCGTCGCATGGATATTCGCGAGCGGGGTAATAAATTGCATCTATGGTTCGTGCCGTTCGACCCTCGGCAGTGCACAGTTTACATTTCTGTTGGATCGGGCCGTCGCCTCGGTGTGATTTGCGCATGTTATTTGTCGCTTGAGAATTTTATACGTGAAATTGCCTTCGTGGCTTGATATGAATTGATAAGATAATAAAGAGAAATCTTGAAATCCTTTGTTACTTGTTAAAAGCGGTTTACCTGTTTTACAGCTTTGGTGAAATTAGAGCATGCTTATGAATCCATGAATTTCCCTCACACATTTAGTATATTATTATTGGACCGCTAGAGAGTGGTCCAGGTTGACCATCTCGTCTCTACCTCTTCGAGGTTAGGCGGGAAACTCACTGAGTACAACGTTGATTACGTACTCATATCTACACTCTCGTGCATTTTTGTTGCACAGGTATATGTTACTTTAGCGGCCTAATGGGCATAGCAGCACAGATGAATTCGGGACTAGGTGAGTTTGCAGTATGCGAGGCGGCCCGCAGCTAGTGAAGTCCCCTCTAGTAATTTGTATTTTTCCTTTCTGTCCCATTTGTATTCAGGACGGAGGTTGTATTGTATTTTAATGTCCTTATCAGTAAATGCTCAATGCACTTGTGACACCTGGGTTCTGGGATGGTTTTCGAAAGATTTGTACTAATTATTTGTTATTTAACTCGAATTGAAGTAGTGACCTTTTTATTTATGAAAATAAGAAGAAAGAATCCTAGATTTATTAAAGGTATTAAATGAGAATTTTAATTGAAATTTAGTTTGGCTTGTCGGAGCTAAACGGTGTCCGGCGCCACCTACACAGCCCTTAGTGGATTTGGGCCGTGACAACAATGTATCAGAGCACTAGGTTCCTAGGGTCTCACAGTCATGAGCAAGTCTAGTAAGAAGTCTCGAGATCGGTACGGAGACGTCTGTACTTATCCTCGGGAGGCTGCAGGACTGTTAGGAATACTTCCCCTTCCTTGGATTCCCTTATCGTCCGATTTGATTCCCTGGAGGCGTATGCTTTAAATTCATTCCTGACTCAAATCTTACGCGACGCAAAGCCTGTAAAAATTAAAGGG